CCAGCGCCGCCAGTCCACGCTTCACTTTCCGGCTGCCCAGCAACTACCCTCTCAACCCCATTTTGTGCAGCCCACGAAGCTGGCTGAAGCTGGCGCTGGGGAACACGTTTCATGCTGCGCACCTGGCTTCCAGCCCCAACGTTTGTAGCCGAGCACCTCAGAACCTGAGAGTTGCTTCCCAGCCCCATCCATCTTCAGCACAAACCACCCCGTGGCCAGCTTAACTCACTTCCTGAGTGGATGGCCCCAAAAAAGTCCAAACTTTATATTTACCACTAAAATGGTCTTCCCAAAAAGTTTAAAGTTCATGAACTCAGGAAGTGAGTTAAGCCCAGTGCTTCCACCTCGTTGGCCAGCCCTGCCGCTGGCAGTCGCTTCTGCCCAGCCCAGCCACATCATTTGCCTTTGCTCTGATGGTTCTTTGAGCCTGGCTGAGACGACACACATACCTATATTATCCTATGTTTCTTTTGATGAGTGTTGAAAATGGCACTCGTAAGGCCAACCCTTCTACCGCATTTACGACCATCCCTTGAACTACCATATCATTTAAACATCTTCGACCACGCTGACTTATCCAACACACGGAAGCATTGCCTGAGAGGTCAAGCCGTCGTGGCTGTCCTTGCACTCTTGAACCTGGCGAGCGTTCTGTGTGATGCGACGAGGTTGCTGGCCAAGGGCAGACAGCATACTGGTCATGGACTTCAAGTGTCATCCCCCCAAACAGTTCATGATCATAAGTTGATTTGCGCTGCGTAGGCGCAGATTTGCAACTGGCATTTCCCTTGAAAAAGGCAACATTCCAAAATGCAGTTAGCCAACCTCCGCCTCCATGCTTTCATCTGAAGTTGTCCACAAAAGGTTCGGGTGGCACAGTCCAATTAAGGATGGGTACTCTAGAATGAATGCTCTTTCAACGTTTCACGGAGGTGTTGAAAAACAAATACGTTGTCAGCCCAGCCAAAACAATGCGCCCGGAATGCAAGAAGGCATAGGGCCGTGTTTTTCAAGGGTGCCTTTTTCACCAAACGCTTTGGATTTCAATTCCATTTTGGGGGTCCCGCTTTGAGACATACATAGCTCATAGACAAGCCGGAAGGATCCCTGCCTTGTGGGTGAGCTGCCTGATCTCCGCGCGCAGCTTTTGGCGGCTCACCTCACGCATTGGGAATACGTACTCGGAATCTGGACTTCCTGAGTGCATTGGTCAAAAGTCCAGACTTTTGGCTTACCACTAAAATGGTCTGCCCAAAAAGATTTAAGTCCAGAAACTCAGGAAGTGAGCCAAATGGATCAAGAACCTCCTTGCAAACGACGGCTTTGAGAGACTCATTGCAAGGGGGCTGCAACAAACAACTCAAAGAACATCCACCATTTGGAGGGGCCCTCAACATCTAACGTTCAGCCTAGGTGACGTGGCCTTTGGACGTAGAATTTTACCATGTGCCACGGGCCAAATGTTGCAAAGTGTTCGGTGCTTGCTTTGTTTATCAGCATTCAAGAAGGACATCAGCAGGGGACCCCCAAGCTGGGTAGTGTCCCTTTAAACGAGCCCCAAACACGGTGCCCTCAACACGCACAATTCTTGAACAAAGAGCACAATTCCGGGCCGTTTCAGGCGCGACTGGTGTATCTTGCTCCGCATGTAATTGGAGACCCACTGGAGGACAAAGGCAAGGGCCAAAGTAACCTCCCGCTGCGCCTGGTGCCGGGAAATCAGCTTCTCCTGCCTCTCCAAGTCGTCTTCGGCCTTGTAACAGGCTGACAAGCAATTTTCACATCATGTGCTCAGTTCTAATGCACAGTCCTTGACAACTTGAGACAAAGCCATTCACCTGCTACTTCGAATCTGGAACGAGCATTCATAAGACGAAGCATACGCAACAGCCAGGAGATATCCTTCAATGCTGTCCAGTGAACCGACTAGCTCCGGACCGGCCATTAGCAGAACGTCGAGCCATGGTGCTGATCCCTCATGGCTTCTGACTGGAAACGGCATCTCCCCCACGCTGGTTGGTGATTGGTTGGTTGGCTATGCGGGGATTCAAGAACGCCGCGCAGGTATTTGGGCATCAGGTCCAGGCCACAATAAACTGGCCAAGGATTGAGCTGTCAGAACCCAATCCCCGAGTTGTCTGTCTCGCACCTGAACCCTGTTTCCTCTTCAGCACCCATGGACATCCATCTGGCCCTGGACGCACTTTCTGCTTTGCAACAGCATGACTCGTGGAAGGGAATCAAGTCACGAAGCCACTCAAACTGGGCGCGTCAGTTTCTTTTTGAGCTCGGAGGTGTGCCTAAACATGCTACGGCTGCTACGTGTCAAGTGTCAACGACGTGCTTGCTGTTCCTCACAGGGTTGCGAAGTTACGTCGCCATGCACGTGAAATATCACCCAAAGAAGAAAGCCAGTGCCATCTCATTCGGAGTTGGTGGAATTTGGCGGAGTCTTGCTGGATCTTCGAAAAAGCAGCCAAGGCACACAGGCAACATCCATGCGGAGACACCTGAGCGCAGCGTTGTTGGGCGCTGCTTCCTTGGGTGTTCCAATAGTTCCTGCCCAAGTGGCGCAGTTGAACTGCTTTTCCTCCCTAATGGCTCAGCTGTTGGTAAGCTCTAAATGCAAAGCATCCATGGCAAGTGCGGTGCCGATGAAGATGCACCGGGCTTTAGTGCTGCATGCTTGTTGTAATGCCAGTGAATTTCTGCAAATTGAGGGGCGCTTTCACGAACACAGGAACTACATCTCAATGCAGCAAGTAGAACCTCGTGAGCGGGCAAGGTGGTGTGAAGAGAGGACCAAGCCATTTGTTGGAATGTAGTGCCTGAAACTGATCAGATGCTTTGGAGCAACCTCCATAGACTCACGTTAATTTTATTGGTGTATGTACTCCATGTCATTATATTATTACTAAATAACTCCAACATTCCCTGGCTGCAGCTCATCAGTATGCATATATATATATGTACATGCACGTATCTATCACGAGCATATCAAACTCTGTAGCGAGCCCTGAGAAATCACCTGACTGGTACTTGCAAACACATCGGCTGCACACTCTCTCCGAGCTCCGCCAAAACTGGGCAGTTCAACATGTGTCACTTCGCCCATGTCAGAGATCGAGGGGGCTTCTGCATGGAACCATGGGATCCAGAGGCCGCTGGGCTGTCGACCTGCATTGAGTCAGGCTGACCCGGAAAACTTCCAGGAGCCCCAACAGGCTCCTATGAAGGATCTGCTGTTCTTCTAATTCCAACGGCTTGAGCGGTCCTGGTGGTACCTGAGGGCTAAGAACCGCCCCAACTCGGATGGTCCGGTCAGGGCGTATACCGCTACTCCATACCATTGCCTATCAATATCCTTACAAAAACCAAACTGGCACAACCCCCTACACAAATTGGCACCATCAGGGTCGGGCATTGGGCGTTTCCCAAACAATGCGCTTTACTTAGCGGGTAACGAGGTCCGCAAGGTCTGAAGATCACGGTCTGTGCACTTTGCTGAGCCTGTGACTGAAGCTTCTCTTTCAGCACCTGCTTCTTGCGCTGCAAGGGTCCAACCTGAGGCAGATCGCATCTACCACGATGACAACTTCGAGGAAGACAACAAGAACGTTTGCGCGAATAAGCGCAAGAACAATTAACAAAAAAGAACATGGCCACAGAAACACCGTCCAGCAACCGCAGCCAGCAGCGTGACAAAGGCAGACCTTGTCACTCATCACTCACTTGGTTGACTCTCGATTTCTTGTCCCTTTTTCTGCTAACAGTATCTCCAGCCAGCCCAAACTGAACTCCCCGAAATCGTTCGTGCAGGCTTGATAGGGAATACATCTGCCACACCCTGGCACACACGAACCATGATATTGACTCCGCCCATGAATCTCAAGCAAAACCCCATAGCTGTGGCTGCCGCCTGCTTCAACAGCGCGAAGCAGCCCACATTCGTCTCTTCTCCCTTGCCCGTCAAATTGGCCACCTAGCGCAGCGAGCAAACCCAAAGATCTCCTTTGCACACCCCAAACACAAACTGGAACGAAACTGGGCGGCCCCATATACATGCATGTCACAATCGAAAACAAAGAGCGAACTCTAATGATTCAAGTCAATAATATAAACGTGTATGTGCTGTGTACATGCTAACGAACTCAAAATACATGACAAACCCCAGAGCTACTTTGCAGCGTCTCTTGCATGTGTTGCAAGCCAGCCACGCGGTGCCTGTGCACATATATGTGTCTTGTTGTTTTTGGCAGGAAAAAGCCGCTTCCAGCCGATATGATGCAAGCATTCTAGCTATATGGATTTCATCGGACAATTCACACAGTTTGTCTGCATGGCAAAGACTTTCAGTATCTCGCCCAGGGCAAACCATGTTTGACTAGAACCTCTTTTTCGACAGTTGCAAACATTTCAAGGCCCAATGGACCTTTACAAGGCACACGTTTTGTTCAAGCACTCCTTGGGTTGTCTGTGAGGCCCAAAATGTGAACAATCGCTATCATCAAGCAGCTCTCTTGACTGCCACTACAGGACGCTGCACAAAATCCGAACGTCAAACCCAACATGTCAACTCTCACCAGGCTGTTTTGTCCCCCCCAAAGCTCGCAGAACGTCTTTGAGCAACAGACCTGTTCGCAGGTCAGAAGCGGCATTGAAGACTCAGCCACAGGCCATCTGGTGGACCCTTTTTGGGCATCATCTGGGGATTTGTTTTCCCCAACCATTCAGGGCACTCTCCTTACAAACTATAGGCATTTGAGCGTCATGAGCTTCTCTGGGTGTGTCAAAATAGGGGGGCTCCAAAAAGTGGGGGCTTTCCTTTTGGCTTTTCAAAATCAAAACCCCGCGTGCGCTCAGACCTTATCCCAGGCACTCTCGAGGGTGCGTCCCGATGCTTTCTAAGAGATCAGTGGCCTCCTTCTTGCTGAAGCAACTGAAGCAGCCCTGACGCGGGAGCTCGCTAGTGTATATAGCTTTCACTTCCATTCAGCAACCAAAGAGATTGGTGAAAGGGAACATGCTACCTTGAAGCGTGGCATGTCTGTCCAAACGCAAGCGGCCAGGCACGACAATGCAAACTCATCGCGCTTTTGAATTCGCGGCTGAAATCCACGGAAACAAACGCGTAGCGTTCTTCTCCCCCTTTGCCCTTCCAAAGAACACAACTATTATAGCTGTCACTAAGAGGGTGAAGGGAAACCAACCTTCCGAGTTTGTCGTGCCCAGGTGCTTTCCTTCGTGCTTGCATGCGATTGGAGTCATCCATGTTGGCTCATGCTGGCGAGATGGTGCAATCTACTTCGAGAGCAACTCAACCGCGACAACAAACAATGATCGTTGCTTATAGTTATGATTATATCTATAACTGATGTCATTTATAACATTGGATACATTTTTGTGGACAAACATGCATTTGCCAAATTCATTGTGCATTTGTTGTCGTGCCATTCTATAAATGAATAGATGCAAACTCAATCGCAACTTCCGCCGAATTCTTCAATTTCGAAGGGTCAGTTTCCTTGATGGTTGAAGGGCGGTCACCCTTGATTGATGCAGCTGTGCTTTGCAACTACACTCCAAATTCAAACAAGTGCCAAAGGCGTGTCGCTTTCAGCTTGAGACACTCGTTCACCCAGCTCTAGCTGATTTGCCCAAGAAAAGAACAAAGAAGCACCACCGAGCCTCACAAATGCAGCATATTCACCAACATGCCACGGCCCGGTCAATGGCTTGTACAATAACCATCGAAGCATCTTACCCAAACATGCTTTGCCCCTTTTCTTTGTACAAAGATCGTTTAAGGCCACACACGCAAATATTGCTGACAGCGCATGATGGTGGCGCGCACCCAGCAGCACGAGGGAACCCTGTAATAACAAAACTGCAAATCAAACAAGACGGTGGTAGTTCATGGGGGGGTGACCATATATTATGTATATATATATGTACACAATTCACTTTGCATGAGAGACAATGTCAAAGCGCCTCCCTGGCTTGAGGACAATCCGAACGCAAAGGCTGCGCGCCTCCATGTTCCTGTGTAAAATCCACGGGGGCACGCAAAAGGCGAGAATCGTTCTCAGCAAGCTGCCAATCTCGAGCCACTGGGCGTTCGGAGCGCAAATGGCAAGACAATGCGGCCTTGGCGTTGGGGGAGAAATGAAGCTTTTCTGTTTTTTCCAGATGAAACCAGGTTGAAACACTGGCAGTAGTTTCTGTACCAGAGAGGCTACAGATTGCCGAAATTCTACGGATTTGCCCAAGCACGCGTACCAAAAGTCTGCAGAGAAGCCAGCTGCTGGATGCCGGCGAAATGACAATGTACGTTTGTGAGGGATCCGGACAGACTTTGCAACCGGTTTTGGAGCGGTTCCAAGAAGCTTGCATGCCTGCCAGTCAACAGTTACATCAGTTACATCCATTGCACTATGGGCAAACATTTTACATGGCAGATACTCTTCCGTTCTCTGCCTAGAATCTTTCCCATTGACAGGGCTATGGCAGTCTGAGGAATCCCTGACCTAAACCCAAGCCCATTCCTTCGGGCTTCAAGCGGGCGCCTTGCAATGACTTGCATTCCGGCTGGGCACTTCACTCCAAGGCGTGCGTTGGTGCCAGAGATTTCACACGTGGGCTGACCCAAAGGCTGACATGGGAATGTATCAAAATTACTTGGTTGCTGTTGACCCCTCTGCACACTTTTTGTGGGTTTAATGGAAAAACCCTTGATTTCAACCAAAGAGTTAAAGTCTAAAGAGCCAACCCAACAGCAATCAACATTACGATTGCCTCCGAGTTGACAAGTTTGGTTAATGTCCTAGCAATCCAAACATGAGTGCATAATCCTGACCCATGTCCTGGACGTCCTGCACTTTTATTGAGCCGACTGTTACCAGTGCTACAAATGTCCCTTCGATCAACATCTAAACTGTCTTAAGTTTTGACGACATGGATCACTCCAGCGATTCTTGGAGCACACAAGTGCACTGCTCGGCACAAACCCGTTGCCAACGAAATCAGGGTGCCGGGTCACCTGACAATAACCGTGCCTCCTTACCTTGAAACCCAAAGATTTGCTACATGGTTAACCTCTTTCAATGGGCGTCACCAGTGCTCGTCTATCATCTAGCTGAGCTTCAAGAGTCACAGATTGCATGCCAAAAGGACTAAGGCAAGATGTCCACCAGCCAATCGAACGAAGCTTCAGAAATAGACGAGCAACTCATCATGGAGGGTTCACAAACAGCAAGCTCCCGGAACAAGCAACCAGTACTGTGCGTCTGACGCAAATCAAGGCAGATTGGCCTTGTCAAGGGCGCGAACCTTCTGAGGCCCATCATCTGCATAGACTACCTGGCACAAAGAACAAAGGAATGAGTGGTCAACTGGCTCAGACTGGCTCGGATAAGGTGGTCATTCGCAAAGCAGCATCATCTTGCACGTCGGCAGTCATGTTCAACATGTATGTGGCATGCAAACCAATAAAGTGGATGG